ATAGTTTTTGGTAATAATCCGTGGATACTAATTACCCAATTTGCATAATGATTAGTCAATTTTCAGTTTTTCCACTGATATCTCAAGTACTAATCATCACATTTCAATGAAACTTGGTACATAGATGTCATATGACACTGCACAGACCTGATAGTTTTTATGGTAATATCAGTACATATAATTACTTATTTGCATAATTAATTAATTTTCAGCTTTTGATATAAGTAGTGAGCATTACATTTCAATGAAACTTGGTACTTATATACTCAAGGACTATGCAGAGATTGTTTCGGATAAATATTTGTGCATATTAATCACCTAATTTGTTAATTTTCAGCTTTTCCATGGGTATCTCAAGTAATCATCGCATTTCAATGAAACTTGGTACATAGATCCTTTAGGACTATGCAGAGACCTGATTAGTTTCAGGGTAAATAATTGTGCGTATTAATTACCTAATTTGCATAATTAATTTTCAGCTTTTCTACTGATATCTAAAGTACTAATCATCACATTTCAATGAATCTAGAATTATGCAGAGACCCAATTAGTTTTCGGTAAATATTTATGCATATTAATCACCTAATTTGCATAATTAACCAATTTCCAACTTTCACACTGATATCTCAGGTACTAATCATCACATATCAATGAATGTTTGTACATGGATGCTGTAGGACAATAGACAGACCTGGATAATTGTGGGTTAAAATCAGTACATATTAATTACCCAATTTGCATAATTAACCAATTTTAAGCTTTCACACTGATATCTAAAGTACTAATTATTCCATTTTAATGAAACTTAGTACAAAGTACAAACCTAATTAGTTTGGGGTAAAAATCTGTTCATATTAATTCCCTAATTAGCGTAATATTTCATAATTTTTTGGTTCTAATCACATTTCAATTAAACTTGGTACATAGATTTTCTGTTACATTGCGCATACCTCATTAGTTTTACACTCAAATCTGTTCATATTCATTTTCTGATTTGCATAATTAGTTTTCAGCTAAGTAATTTCAAATTATATTTAATGTGTCTCCAATACTCTCAGCACATGGGAGTTCTTTCTAAGCTTTCTTTGATTTTTTATTAGCTCCGCTGTTGACTTTGTTGAGCGGAGCTTATCATATGAGTGATTGTCCATTGTCGTCGTCCGTGTCAATGTTTTACTTTTTCGACTTCTTGAAAACTACAAGCCTGAATGCTTTGATACTTGGTGTATATGTACCATGGGTGGACCTCTCTATGATTTGTTCATTTTGTAATGATATCTTTAATTCTCTAATTTTGGTGAATATTTTTGTCATTTTTGGTAAAAAGTGATATTTTCGACTTCTTGTTAAAAACCACAAGTCCAATTGCTTTGATATTACATATATAGGTACTACATGGGGGAACTCTCTCAGATTTGTTCATTTCGTGATGATATCTTTAATTCTCTAATTTTAGTGAATATTTTTTTAATTTTTGGTAAAAAGTGATATTTTCGACTTCTTGTTAAAAATTGCAAGTCTGATTGCTTTGATACTATACATATTATTCATTTTCTAATGATATCTTCAGTTCTTTAATTGAAATGTGCATTGCTAACAGCAGAGCTATTTCAGCCGAGAGGCTGCTTGTTTTCAGTCCCCGTTCGGACGCAGTCCGAAAACGGGGACTTATGTTTTGACCCCTGTGTGTGCCTCTGGACCTGTATCTTAGAAATGCCTGGACCAATCACAATCAAACTTCACATGTACATCATACATGATATTATACATATGCATGTTTCATGATCTGATTCAAGATGGCCGAACGGCGGCCATTTTTGTGCTAAAAAATCATCAAAATCAAGCATTTCCCAGCTGTTTACAGATGGATTTTGTTCAAACCTTGTATATACGTTGGACATTATAGGACCTTGATGCACATCATTTTGTTTTTCAGATACATGAAAGATGCAAAATATACAGACATATCGGTTTGACGATCCTATTCAAAATGGCTGAAGAATGGTGGCCATTTTTGTGCTAAAAAAATCATCAAATATCAAGCATTTCTGATGGATTTTGTTCAAACTTGGTACATACATTATGGGTTCCTGATGCACTTCATTTAATTTTTCAGATCGGATTTAAAATGGTCGACTGATGGCCATTATGTATTAATGAATGCAGTTCTAGTGCCATATCTGTGACATTGCTTTGACTGATTATGTTAAAATTTTATATATTCACACTACACATGTATTCAAAATGGCTGATTTTGTTTTAATTAATGCTGTTCTAGAGCAATATCTCTCAATACTCGTTTGACGATCAGATACAAATGTCAATCATTTTAATGTTAAACAAACATCATAATCATATTTCTGACATGTTTATGTTCCAGCTATATTACTATATACAAAACTATATCTTAAATTCGATAACTAACGGGGACTGTGCCATGCATGGCTTGTTATTTTTAATAAACATTTTTTCTGTCATTAATGTAAAAGCATAGCGTATACACTATATACAAATGTTGTACATTAAATAAAAAGTGAACAAAAATGGTTGTGATGTTGCGTACAGTTCTCTCGACGGTGCTTTCTATTGAAGTCCAGTGAATCTCGGGGCTTACATTACAAGACTAAACTTACCCAGGGTCATAAGCAAAATGTCAAATACGTCTCATTTCTTGTGAGCCTAAGCCTCTGATGGTCTCTCACTGAGGATTTTTGGGCATCATACAACGTAATTTTTTACATCCCCATCATGTTGATAACTTGACTCTTAGTTTTCACATCAAATTTGACATAACATTAGCCTTGTGTATAGGCACTTTACCCATGCATTAATGTCTAAAATAACATTTGGTCATCTATAACAAAAAAATGTAAATGATTTGAATATCCATCTTCATTTCTACTGTAATCTTTGTTGCAAGACTGTTGTGCTGATAGAGGGCAGTGTTTAGATTGACTGGGAGCTTGTCTCTGGAGGTTTGTATACATAAGGTAAAGTTAAATTGTTTTAAGAAATTAATGCCATTTTTAATAATAGCAGAGCTAAAAGATTAAGAAATACAGTGTTTTGAACTAGTTGCTACATGTTGTCATGGTAATGGTTGCTAGGAACACGCCCACCTTACACCGCTCATCGATGTTGTTGCCCTTTGTTTGGTAGTATATAACTATCACTAGAGGGTCTATGATTAGACAATAAACAAAATGGTGAACTACTAGGTATATTAGTGAAGAATAGAATTTTGAAAGTAACAGTCAGTGACAGCAACCAACCCTGTGTTGTCCTTACAAAGTTTAAATCGCGGTAGTCGTTGCGCTGCGCATGTGCCACATTTGTGTTAATAAACATTGATTTTCCCACAATCCAATGCGCTCTTCAAATGGAAATCACAAGTATGAGGTTTGACCTGGGCGCGACTTGCACAGATTACTGACGGTGACTTCTTCGATGCCTTCCAATAACATGAAAATTATGTAATTAAAGCTTGGAAACGTCTCAAGTTCG